TGATTTAACTGGCGACGACATATTTATTAAACAAATATTTAGAATCTAGTTAGGTTAAGCAACCATATTACAATATCCAAAAAATATAGATTGTCATTGGACATTGTCCGTAATACATGGCAGACACCGGACAATGTCCACGGACATGTCTCAAAAAATATAGATTGTCATCAGACATCGTCCGTGATACATGGCAGACACCAGACAATGTCCATACAGACATGTCCAATTTTGTAAACCGTTATCACTTGTAAAAAAAACTGCAACCACCTGTTTCTACTAATGCCGCTTATATTTATTCGCTACTGTAAATATGTATGTATATACAAGACTTAGGTCTATTTATTCTACCTATTTTTATGTAAACCCAGGTCTGGTACGCATTGAAAGATTACATTGTGAAAAGAAAATGTATATATGCTTTGTATAAGCAATTATTAATGATTTCATAGTTCGCACCTGAGGCTTAATTCATGGGTCTATTATTTTGAGAGATCTTACATATGCACTTCTGCACTTTTATGGTACTACTTTTTATTTAATAAGTACATGCTTAGATTTTAGAATCATTAAAAAAACTAATAAAATATCTTTTAAAAGTTAACAATTTCAGCATATTGATATATAACCATGTAAAGTTTATTTTTTTATTCGCAGACCAATTTTACAAACAAAAAAAATTAACTGACTGCTAAGATATTTGAAATCTTGCCAAAAAAAATCAGGAATTCTTGTTTTTCTTGCATTTTACCTTGCATAATACAGGTATAAAAGACTCAAATCTATTTCATTGTTGATGCCTGAAATTCAAGAATTTCTGATTTTCGCACGAAAACGCCCATTTACTTAATGCTACAGTCAAACCTCTATATTTATAAATGCACTACTATGTAAATTCTCTCTAAATAGACACTCTGGCATGGTCCCAAATATATAGAAACATAGTAAAATTCCCTCTATAAATGTACACCTTCTCTAAATGAACATTTTTAAAAATTTGTTCTATGGTCCCGAGGGGATGCAATTATAGAGGTTTGACTGTATTTGGAATTATCTCAAAGGTACTTTAAACAGATAAATTAGTTATCCCAATCATTTGATTAAAATCAGCAAATTAGGAAACTGGAGGTATATATGTATCATGTTACCAAATATGAGACCTTCAGGCAATCACTATTATTAAGATAAAAACTCATTTTGGCACCATCTATAAAGCCACAACTGAAGCTGAAAATAGAAACCTATATAAAATGATAAAATTTACTTATACTTTTTATTAAAATAATAAATTTTAAATGATTATTGTTAAATTTCCTTTTGAATTGCATCTATATTCATCGAGTACCTATATATTTAATAGTTCTGTGAATGAATATTTAAATGTTTTGCATAGATCATAAGCAAGTACATAAATACATGCCTTGTATATACACAATGCGTGAACATGTGGATAATAAATAAGTCGACATAATCTTGCTAAAAGGTTTCAATAAGTTTATAATGGGGTTATTAGTTATATTGGCGAAAATATTTGAGTAGACATCCTTTGTTCCTAGTTCAGCCTATATTTTATAAATATAACATATAAAAGATCTATAAAAGGGATGCAAATATAATATCAAATAATTACAATAAAATATTCTATAAATCCTTTTTCTTTGTGTGCTTACTCTTTCGTCCGTAATGCAGAAAAATATTTTATAAAAATTAGCATATGAAAAGTCTGCAGACGAAGAAATAGTATGCATTTTAGTATCTTAAAATACAAGAACGCCCAAGTAATAATTCAGTTAAAGCATTAAAAATTATCCACATTAATATTTTGCAAATATTAATATTGTTCTCAGATTTGAAAGAGAATAAAAAAAAATAAAAAAGAGTTAGTCCATTAGTCCAAAATTCACATTAAACAAAATAAAATGCATTAAATAAAATAAATATAATTCCTGGAAGTCCAATATTTGAAATTTATATATAAATATTTGCTTCTCTGTACTTCAAACTATGAACTCGTTGTTCAAACTAATCAATAAAATGCCAATATTACCATTGTTAGATCAACATGTTATTAAAACTAAAGAAAAACTCAAATAGAATTATAAACTTTACTGCAAGGCATGTATCGAAATATTGGGCAAGAATGAAGGAAAAAAAATTTTTTTTTCTAACAAAACCAACAGGATAGTCCAGCATCTCAAGAAATGTGAACATTTCATTGGAAAAACGACACCAGAGCAGAGAGAAGAAATTTTGATGACCAAAAAAAACAACCAGGTAAGAATATAATATTTATTTTTTTTTTATCACATAATAATATATATATATATATATTTTAATAGTTTCCTCCGGCAACAACACAATCATGTCCCTATATCGACCCCGAAAGATTATACGAACCTCAACATATGGACCAATTGACAACCATATTGCTAAAGAATTAACTTAGCAAGATAATGAAAAATTCAAGATTCTCTTATTAAGACTAACAGTATCATGCAGATAGGCCTTCTACTGGGTCAATAAGCCAGAGGCTAAAGAGCTATTTGAATTTTTAAACCCTCACCTTAAACTTCCAGACCGTCGGGCCCTTAGCAGAAAGATTTTGGAGGCTGCTGCTGCTGAAGAGGATAATGAAATGTATGATGCACTTAGTAAAGATCAAATAGGTGTTACCTTGACATTTGATGGGTGAACTAATATAAAAAATAAACAACTATTAGGAGTAATGATTATTACTTCTGGGGGAAGACCCTATGTGTGGAAAGTAACAGATATTAGTTTAGAAAAGGAAACACATATTAAAGTTATGGATAAAACAAATGCAATGATCAATGAACTAAAAAGTATAAATACGGAAGTTTCTGCTATTGTCACAGACAGCGCCAGACCATATGCGGTGTCAAGGTATTATTTGCCACAATCATAGCAAAATCTTATTAAAATAAAATTTAAATTTCCATTTTGATTTGAATTATTTTTGCATTCATAAATTTGTTAGACGAAGACTTAGACTTGTTTATAGAAACATCGTATTCTTATCATGTTATGTGCACCAGCTAAACTTGTGCATAGGCGAAATATTCAAAGAATCTACAGACCTAAAAATTACAATGAACCAAGCAATTAAATTAGCTGCTTATTTTAAAAATGCAAAAAACAAATATTTCATCACCAAATTATGGGACCAGCAGAAAATTACTTATAAAAAATATTATAGAATAGCTGTTCCAGAAGAGACCCACTGGAATAGCTATTATTCAGTAGTAACTAGTCTCTTACGAACTAAACAAGCATTGCAGGCAAGTAAATGATTAACACTTTAAAATTCTATAAAAATCAGAAAAATTATACTTACTGTATCATCTCAAAATAACGTCTGGGCATTATTTTAAAATACATGATTTAAATAAAGCTAAGAATTAATTTAATTAAACGCAAACAATAATTGTTACTTTTTCAAAAATCCTCAATTAAATTAATTTTTAACTCTGTTTAAATTGTGCATTTTAAAATAATGCCTGGGCATTATTTTGAGAAAATACCGTAATCTACAAAAAAAAATCCTAAATAAATTAATCAAATTTTAGATTAGCAAGTCTTAAAAATTAAAATTCTCAATAAGAACAAAAATTAACTATTCGATAAATTACTTACCTAAAAAGCTTTAATTTTTATTTTAGATTCTTGCGATCAATTATGAACCACCACATGCTCAAAGTCGACGAAAAACTGGAGATGGCTCACTTCATCGGGATATTTTTGATATTATCACTCTGGATTCATTTTGGTCGAATTTAATGGTAATTGTGGAAATTTTATATTCATATTGCAAAATATTAAATATTTTGCAATCCAATAGCACAAGATTAATACATGTTATACATGATCTCGCATATTTGGTTCAATTTTGGAACAATTATACGAACCTGCGGCTTGCTGAAAAAATTTTGAATAGGTTAAACAAAAGATGGAATAATTGGGAATAACCTCTTGTAATTTTAGCTTGCTTATTGCATCCCAAATATCGAATGACTTATTTTAAGAACAAATTAATTATCAATTATTCGAAATTAGATAAATACCTAATTTATTACTATAAGGCTTGGTCAGGTGAAGAACCTACATGTATCTTGCATGAATTTAATGATTTTTCCATCGGAGCTTACCCATTTGACGATAATACTTACGATCATTTTGGTGATATTTGGAAGTATTGGAGTTATGTTAAGGATTCGACGACTGAATTAGGATTGGTTGCTTGTCGATTATATGGAATTTGCATTAATGCAGCCACAGTTGAATGCCTTTGGAGCTGTATGGGCTTTTTACAAATGAAAAGAAGAAATAGATTAGCAGTAAATATTTTTTTAATTCGATTAGATTAATATTTCTATGTATTATTAATATTTTTTTTTTTTTTTTTTTTTTTTTTAGTTATCAAAAGCTCTTAATATGAGCAAATTAAGGGCAATTATTTTGTGGGAACATTCACAAAGATCAAACCCTGATAAATTGTTTTCACCTAATTTTTCAGAAGATATCGATAGTCAAGAAAATATAGACTATGAAAGGCATGAATCAAGCGATAAACTTAAAGAACCTTGTAAAATTAGACCAGATCCTGAAGAATTTGAGAATCTTATCATGAATGAAGACTCTGATAATGAGTCATTAGATTCTGAGTCCTTAAAAGAAAGTTTTGGTGAATTTTTGGATGTGTGGATAGAGATATCAGCAAGAGAGGTTGAGGAAGTTAGTGATACAGATGATACAGATGAAGACGATTACAGAATGCCTTCTAAAGTTGATGACATCGTTCATCCAGCCATAGATCCTGTTGCTAAATAGGATCTAGAATCACTTTTTAATGAGTTGCAATTACCTTGATTGTATAGTTCTGACATCCCGGGTTGCTAGTGCGTAGTATATTCTAGCTATGCAATGTGCAATAATATTATCTCTTCCTTTTTTTCTTATCCAAAAATTAAAGAACAATACTCTAACCTTTATAATGCTCCATGTTATTCTATACAAAATTCTGGTTATGTTATATACTTAAGTTGGTTAAAATCGATATCTAGAAAGATAGAAATATTTGTTCAGAATGAAAAATAGCTTACTGGAAACAAATTTACTATATGGGGTTAAATTATAGATTTAAATAAATTCATTTTTTATATAAAATTAAGTCATAATAACGCACCTTGCTTTCTTTTAAAAGAAGTTCAAATTTTTTTGAATCACATATAAAAAATTAACAAGTTAATTTTTAAGTCAAAGGTAAATTATGTTAAAGAAGCCTAATTAATGTTTATTACCTAAATTATATATGCTAAAATGCTTTCAGTAAATTTATTAAGTTGAAAGCATATAAGTTGAGAAGTCTGAGTCATGATCAGGTTATGTTGAATAATGGTTCTTTCGGTTCTTTAGAAGTAGATAGCACAAGATCAGTAATCTGCACAAGTTAAGGATCTAAAACTGCACGAATAATACTAAACTAATATTTGCTACCCGTTACCGATATACAATGTCATACAGTATGACATGCATACGAGTCTGATGCCTATGTTCTTGGACATGGGATGTGGACAGTCTGGTCCATGTTCACATCTGGCCCATGTGCCAACATTACCCGAAAATATCCATGTCTGCAAGATCCTTGGACACAGACGTCCGGTCTGAGTGACAACACTGGTTATGATCACAATTATTTTTTATAACAAATTAATTAAAGTTGATTACATAATAATAATGCATTATTTATGATGAAATTAACTAAAAATTAAAATTAAAGAAATTGTTATCTAATCAATTTTAAGCAACACAGTTCTAACTCGAGTACTTATTACTTCTGCATAATGAAATTCACTAGAGGTTACTCTCAAATAAATTCTTTAATTAATAATTTTAATTAGAATCTTTTCTTAAATTGTTACTTAATAATTTTGTCTTTGTAAAATTTATTTTAGTTTTTTTTTTTTTAACTTAAGCAGTCACACTAGTACTTTATTAGAATTCTTGATACTATACAGATTACAAAGAATTTTCCTAATACTTAAGTTCAGCATCACCCAGCCACCTTATTGGTACCTAAGTGTAACCTGCTACACTACCTCAAACAGAGGTAGACTGCTCATCTGACTGCCACCCTACAATAGGATACCACCAATCTGATGATGTCTTCTCATAGGGAAGCAAAAAAAACAAAAAAAAATATTTTATATGTAAAAAAAAAAACAGAGGTATAGGGATAAACAATAAAAGATACAAAACAAGAAATAAAAGAGCGAAAAGAAAAAATAAGAAAAAAGAAAAGTGTGAAACTTGCAATTCACAAAATCAAACGATCACAATTTTAAGTCTATATTAGGCATGAAACTTGCAATTTACAGATATCAGACAATCATAATTATAAGTCTGTGTCAGGCTTGTAAAAATTATAAACTATTCATATATAATTACTAACAACCAAATCTAGGTGAGCCTTGGCCACTCCTGTTGGTTTAGGTCGCAGATAAACTAATCTGAGCT